GAAATGATCTTTTTTTTTTTTTAAAAATAAAAAATACCCAACTAAAAAATAACATAACCTAAACCCGAACTAACCTATCCATTTGCCATTTCTAAACATAACTTATGTTAGAAATAGTTTAGCATTGAGCTTGAAAGTGGTTTTGCATTCAAAAGTAGATTTTGATCTATCTTCAATGTTAAATAATAAAAAATATCTTTTTTATTTAAAAAGTTTGATTTGCTAACCCAAACAATAAAAAGTTCCTTAATAAATGATTTTGCAGCGAACTTTTAACTTTTATAAGTATAATAATTTTATTATCCTTATTTTCTTAATTTTTTATTATTTTTTATGTATATCTTTTTTTATATTTAAATTCATCACAATATTTTTTACAATAATATTAAATATTTAAAATTCTTAAATCATACTTTCTCATCACTCTTTTTCTAACTCAAATTTTTTTTCAACCATAACAATAACGCTAAAATAGGCTTTAATATTTTGTTTGTCAATATTTATTAAAACAATAAAAACATGTAAAAAAATTATACCTGCTCATGGACAGAGTTGGGTCAAGTTCTAGCCAAGCGAAATTGACATGATATTTCAACATTTTAAGCAAATTTAGGCTCGGCCTACCTTGATTTTTCAAACCTGATTTTTGTCCAAACTCGTTTTTACATGTAATAATAAAGTTCAAATCCACAAAAATCATTAGTATTTAAAATTGAAGAAAAAAGTTTTTTTTAAAAATTTTTTGTAAATTATTAATTTAACAAATTTAATTAATTTTAATTGAATTTATGAATTATTTAGGTTTGGGTCCAATTTAATTTTGTTGAATACAATTTAAAATTGGATCATTATTTTATATAAATAAAATAAGCTTATCATATTACAAGTAATAAAGCAAATGAGTTTTATCGATTTTTTAAATGGGTTTTATCCTATTTGATAAAAAATATTTTTTAATTTTTCGATTTGATCAGATTGGGCCTGGGCCTTAAATGACAAAATTTAAACGCAATTTTATTTTTTATTCGGATTTTAATTTTTGTCCAAATTCATTTAATAGATTTAATAGTCATATTCAAGTCTTTTAAAATTTTAAATGAGCTTTTAGGTTTGGGTGGATTGTTTGGCCCACGAGTAGGTCTATGAAAAATATATATTTTATTTTTTAATTTGACAAAAAAAATCCCTAAACTATTTCTTTTCATAAAAAACTATAAAACTTTTAAATAAAATTTTTTTCCTTTTGTATTAAAAAAACAAGGTTTAAATGCTCATTTGCTGCTTGAGCTATGCCACTTCTGTCACATTTGTATTTATAGAATAAAAATTTACAATTAAGTACTTAAAATTTTATTATATAAGAGACTTCATTTGACTAACATCATTGGTCTAAAAATATCGTGAGATAAACGTTTAATTAAATTATGATGCATGAAAAATATATCATTTAATCATGATACACGACAAAAAAGTTATATCATTTTTAATTAATATATATTTTGAATTTTTTAGGTTTGAATTTAAAATTAAAAAAAAATGTTGAGAAGAGAAAAAATGAGGGAGAGAAATAGAAGAGTGAAAAGAAAAGGGGAGAGAAGGAGGGCAAGGAGGGGTCGGTGTCGACTAGGGGTGTAAATGATACATTAATACTCGCAAGCTACTCGGGTTCGATTCGAAGAAAACTCGAATTCGGTTCGATTATTATCGAGTTGAGCTCGAGCTGGAGTAGCTCGACTTATCGATCGAGCCGAATTCGAGTATTCTTATATCCGGCTCGAGTAGCTCGCGAGCCTAATCGAGCTTTTCTATTATATATTTATTTTTATTATTTTATTTATAAAATTACTTTTTTACCCTTAGCTTAAAAAACCCTAAAATTTTATTTTCTTTCTTTCTCTCTTTTCCTTCAGTTTTTCTCCCCGTCTCTCTCACTCACCAACAGGCAACAGCCCTACTTGCGGCGACTTTTCTTCCCGAATCCCACTCCATTGTCTTCCAAGCTTGTTCCACCCTTTCGAAAGCCCTTTCTCCTCTCTCTAAAAGGCTTGAACAGAACCCGATCTTAAACAGAACCCATTCAACGTTTATAACAGCTTCAACAGAACCCATTCGACGTTTGCAGCTTGCAGCAGCTTCAACAGTTTGTAGATCTTGAACAGAACCCATTCGACGTTTGCAACAGCTTCAACAGTTTGCAGCAGCTTCAACAGTTTACAGATCTTGAACAGTTTGCAGCAGCTTCAACAGTTTACAGATCTTGAACAGAACCCATTCGACGTTTGCAGCTTGCAGCAGCTTCAACAGTTTGCAGATCTTGAATAGTTTGCAGCAGCTTCAACAGTTTACAGATCTTGAACAGAACCCATTCGACGTTTGCAGCTTGCAGCAGCTTCAACAGTTTATAGATCTTGAACAGAACCCATTCGACGTTTGCAGCAGCTTCAACAGTTTACAGATCTTGAACAGAACCCATTCGACGTTTGCAGCTTGCAGCAGCTTCAACAGTTTACAGATCTTGAATAGTTTGCAGCAGCTTCAACAGTTTACAGATCTTGAACAGAACCCATTCGACGTTTGCAGCTTGCAGCAGCTTCAACAGTTTACAGATCTTGAACAGAACCCATTCGACGTTTGCAGCTTGCAGCAGCTTCAACAATTTACAGATCTTGAACAGAACCCATTCGACGTTTGCAGCAGCTTCAACAGTTTACAGATCTTGAACAGAACCCATTCGACATTTACAGCAGCTTCAACAGTTTGCAGATCTTGAACAGAACCCATTCGACGTTTGCAGCTTGCAGCAGCTTCAATAGTTTGCAGATCTTGAACAGAACCCCTTCGACGTTTGCAGCAGCTTCAACAGTTTGCAGCAGCTTCAACAGTTTATAGCAGCTTCAACAGAACCCATTCGACGTTTACAGCAGCTTCAACAGAACCTGATCCCTCAACATAGCCCTTTCTCCTCTCTCTAAAAGGTAAGCTCGTTCCACCCATTCAACATTTGCAGTAGCTTGAACAGAACCCGATCCCTCAACGTAGCCTTTTCTCCATGACATACTTTTTGAGTGCCATTTTTTTATTAAATGTTTTTATGTTAGGCTTCCAATTCATGCTAAAAGGTAGTTTAAATAAGAATGCCTTAATTAAATACCTTTATGAATGCCTAAATTAAATACCCTTATGAATATTGTGGGGATGCAGATCGAGAACAACAATGAAAAGGGGCAAGGTGTTATAGCTATTTGTTAATATTGATATTCTCAATTCTGATTTGTTTGTCAAACACTATCATATTATACTTTTATTTTTGTTGCAAACTTGTGAAAAGCAGTATGTTCTTTGTGAAGTTGCATTTAAATACTGAATTTTGTAAACCAAAAGTCTCTATATTATTAGCAAGAAAGTAATTGAATTTAGGCCACTTCAAGACTTGCACAATACGCTTTATCAGTAGAAAAACTTTTGGATGGTTCATATTATTTAACAAAAAAAGGTCATTGGCTCTATTATTTTTAGTCATAATCATAATTTGAGCTTCCATATAGTTCATCACTAATTTATTGGGGACTGTTTAATGTGAATACTTTTCTTCTTTATGCATATTAGATTTGTTAGAATATAACCTGACACTTATTTCTAATGAGATTGAGTTAATGTTATATAAATACTAAATAGGCATGTATAATTGTAAAAATTAATAAGAAATATTCATTTTAAGAAATTGATTTTAGAAATTGAAATTATTATCGAAGTAGGTAATCTTAAATTTATTAAAATTCCTACAATATTAGTATATTTTCCCAAAGAATAAAATTTTATACTCTTCCAATAATTTGTTCTCGCAACTTGTTTAGCATGTTTCTGGCAATAAAATTTATCGCACATGTTTCTAACAACTTGTTTGCATTATTGTTTGATCCTAAAATTATATTATTGTTTTGATTTGTCTTTTTTGTTTTTTGCTATAGGGAACTAAACATGTCATCAACCACACCGGATATCTCTTTTATAAGATTCAGCCGACAATAAATTCTTTTACTAGTCGAATTGTGTCAGATGATGGTAATGATTCAATGAATGAAGTTTTAGATGCCACTAATGGTAACACAGATAAAACACCAGTCATTGATGCCAATGATAGAGAATGTGATAATGCTGACCTTGAAGAGTGTGAAGAAAGTAATGAGAAAAAGAGGCAAAAGACATCTGCTGTTTGGTTAGAATTCAAAGAAGTCACTCTTTCTGATGGTTCCAAAAAAGAAGAGTGTGTCCATTGCAAAAAGAAGCTAGCAATAAATACAAGTAAAAGTACAACTCAATTTAAGAGGCATTTGGCAACTTGTGTTAAGAGAAAAATTTTTCAGAATCAACAACAAATGATCAACTTTCAGCCAGTAAACACATGTGGTGATGTACAGATACTACCTGCTCTCACAGATGACAAGTTTGATATGGTAAAGATGAGAGAAGCAGCTGCACATTGGATACTTATGCACGAGCATCCTTTTTCGATTATAGAAGAGGAAGGTTTTAACATGATGCAAAAACGAGGGATGCCTGAATGGGAAAAGGTATCACGCAATACTATTAAAAAAGATTGCATGCAAGTTTATGAAGCAGAAAAGAAGAAATTAAAGGCATTGTTGAAGACTGTCAGTAAGATTAGTTTGACAACAGATTTATGGAAATCAAGTAATCAAAAGATTGAGTACATGGTTCTTACAGCACACTTTGTAGATTCTAATTGGAGATTGTAAAAGCGTGCTATTAGCTTTGTTCACATACCTCCTCCTCGTCGCGATGTTGAGATTGCTGATTGTATTTTTAAGTGTCTAAAATAATGGGGAATTGAAAACAAGGTGTTTACACTTTCTGTGGACAATGCTTCAAGCAATGATGTGGCGATTAGAATTCTTAAAAACACTTTTTCAAGAAATAGGATGTTGCTTTGTGGAGGAAAATTATTTCATGTTCGGTGTTGTGCACATATCTTAAATCTCATGGTTCAAGATGGCCTTTCTGAGATTAAGAATGTGATTAGTGATGTTCATGAAAGTGTCAGTTTTATTAATCAAAATGAGGCAAGACTTAACTCATTTTCTGATATAGTACAGCAGTTACAGTTACCTGATAGGAAACTCATTCTCGATTGTAAAACACGTTGGAATTCGACATTCGAGATGTTGTCGATTGCAATCAAATTCAAAGAAGTGTTTTCGAGACTCAAAGAGCGAGAATCTCATTATGAATGTTGTCCAAGTCATGAAGATTGGGAAAAGGTGGAAAAAGTTTGTGAGATTTTAGAAGTTTTTAATTCAGCCACTAAAATCATCTCTGGAAGTGATTATCCAACTTCAAACCTGTTTCTGAATGAAGTTTATCATGTGAAAGTGTTGTTGGATAAAAGGATGAATGATGAAAATGAATTTGTTCAAGCAATGGTTCGTAAGATGAAGAGTAAATTTGATAAGTATTGGGGAGAATGTAATTTGTTGATGTCTATAGCAGCAATCTTGGATCCAAGGTGCAAAATGAGGGTGATTGAGTTTTGCTTTCCTCGAATGTACCCTGATAGAGAAGCAAAAGAAAATATTGCTAAAGTTCGAGATGCCCTTTATGAGATTTATGATGAATATGCTCGTGAGTATCAATTTGGCAATGAGCATAGTGCTGAAACTCAAGTGCATGATAATGGTATTAGTGGTATGAATATAAAAGCTTCTTCTTCTGGTTGGTTTGAATTTGCAAATTATGTAAAATCAGTTGAAACTGCTCAACCACAACAATCTGATTTAGATGTCTACCTAGCTGAGGGCTGTTTTATCTGTGAAGGAGATTCCACTAAGTTTCATGCTTTGGAATGGTGGAAAGCGAGCACTTTGAAGTATCGTATTTTATCCAAGATGGCTCGGAATATACTTGCTATTCTTATCACTACAGTGGCTTCAGAAGCTACCTTTAGTGCAGGAGGTAGAGTTATTGATACTTATCGTGCTTCTTTATCTCCTGACACAGTGCAAGCATTACTTTGTGGAGGAGATTGGTGTCGGAATCTTCATGGAGTGAAGAAGAAGAACAAAGTGAGTTTTTTTTTATTATTATTTTGTTATTAGGTGACTATCATTGCTTTAATCTAATTTTTAACTATTATTTTCCTTTACTTTATCTATGTAGAAAGAGAAGAAATCAATTGAGATTGCACTCAAAATCCCCTAAAGTGAGGATATCTAATGTCTTCTATACAGGTATGAAATATTATTATTAAATACTTTTAATTTGTCACAACATTGCTAAAGAAAAATAGGTAGTAGCTAGTCTAGATTGAGCTTTTTGCATTATAATTTACGAACCATAGGTTAACTAATGATAGAAACCCATGTTAAGGTAATTGACAAGATACTGTTTATATTTTTTTGCTCTGATTATAAGACAACTGACAAGATAAAATCCATGTTAATGCTAATGTTAAAAATTTAAAGTTATTGATCATTGTAATAATATTACAATCTTTTTCTTGCATGGGTACTTTTATCGTTATTCTTATTGTTAATTATAATTTCTTTGTTTTGTAATTATTCTTTTGTATAGGTTTATTGAAAAGCAATATGAGCCCAATGTTCATTTGAAGATATAATATTGTGAAGGCAGCATATGTATTGTTGTTGGTTTGTTGTAACTTATTTGTGAACTTATTTGCTTGGATATTTAATATCTTTCAATTAGGATTTTAATTTCTAAGTTTCATTATGTCTTATATTTGTGTGTTGTATTTGAATCATTTAATGAGACTTTTATTTGCTTAAATTTGGTTGTTGTGTAAGTTATTATTATTATTATTGTTGTTGTTATTGTTGTTGTTATTTTGAAAATATAATATTTATTAGGTTTGATAAAAATTGGTTGTAAAAGATCTCGAGCTCGAGCTCGAATAATCGAGTTTTTTTTTCGAGTATAAAAATTGAGCTTTTTTTTATATATCAATCGAGCTTAATTGAGCGAGCTCGAATAGCTCGAATTCGATCACGAATCGAGTTCGAGCTTGAAAAATGAAACTCGATCGAGTTCGAGCCGAATATCGAGCCTTGAATTGTGAGTCGAGCTCGAGCTCGAGCTTCTCATTATTCGGCTCGACTCGGCTCGTTTACAGCCTTAGTGTCGACCACTGACGAATCCAATTGGCTTGAAGTAGAGGAAAAGGGGAGGTTTAGAGAAGGGAGAAAGGAAGAGAGTCGATCTAATGGCGCTTCAAATCTGATAGAGCTGAAACAGGTCGAGCCGGCCATATCCACCACTTAGCCGACTGGATGGCGTCATTCTTTCAGTAATGTTTGTCAATGTTGCATTTTGCACACGGAATTCAACATTATACTTTTTATTCTTAACATTCGAAAATGACCAGACTTTTACGAAATTTTAAAAAACACTTTAACTTTAATATATTTGTATTAAAATTTAAAATTTTTTATAGAATTAAAATTTCATAATTTTTAATATCAAAAATAAAAAAATCCTAGAATGTAATTGTAAAATATAAAAAAATAGAACAAAATTTTTAGACATTTTGATAAAAAAAAATAAAACAGGAGTACATAAATAGAAGGCCAAATGAATATTTAAACCAAAAAATAAATCCAGCAGATTTGTTTTCAGCATGTCCCAAACACTGCAGCAGAGCACAAATTCTATCGTAGACGCCTTACTCCCAATGCAATTGACGAAATACATAGTAGGATAAATTACATTACAAATGAAAGTGTAACATATACCTGCAAAACGAAATCAGAACACCCAAAAAGAAACTATTTTTATCCTGCTTTTAATCCGACTCCCGATATACAAATTGACATATTTATCCTATGTTACATATTCCATTCCCTATCTTCCCTTTTTAATTCTAGCATCAATGTAATCAGATTAGAGTGCAAATGTTTTACAACATAAAGTACTGAGCATACAACAACTTTTGCCAACATATGTGACGTTACAACTATCCAAAGGAAAATCTATAGACACAACAAAGTGGCCTAGCTGCAACACACTTGCATCTGAAAGGATGTCAGAAGTTGAAGTCGAAGAAGAGCAGCAGCCTAACCAACATCAATAATAAGCATTGCTCCAGGAAAAAACACTATTACAATTTGATCCAAGGACAGTCAATTTTCAGAGAAGCTTCATATAGAGGGAAATATCTACTTCTCACTCCCTAGGCCGGGCCAGCCAAAGAGAACTGAGAGCTCGAAGCCTAGAAAAATAATCATTTATTGCAAGAAGGGCCCGAGCTGATTGCCTAGTTGTCAAGATACGATGCATTTGTTGCAGTGTTTGCTGACGCAGATTATCAGCCTGTATGTAAAAAAAAAAAAAAACAGATTATTAGCCTGGTGATCACACTGGAAAAATCAATTAACAAGAATATAAACTAAACAAGGTATGGTTTTACAAAAGAAAATTGCCTTCATGCACTCAAAATGCAAATGACATAGAGCATACTCTCGACCGGAATCGTGGGTAGTACTGCCTTTTCATTTCTATTAATTTAAAGCCCCAATTAGTATTCCTTTTATGTTATCCAGAAATATCCTTGTTATATAATTTACATAATTTTTACATGATGTAAAATGTGGAATCATCACAATCTTCAATGATGAGAACAGACACCTTCTACCGAGAACCCAAAATGATTAAATGCAACTATTATTCACGTTAACTTCCTTTTTATTTCAACTACTCTTGAGACTATTGTAGTAAAATGACACGTAGTATAACCAAAACACCTTAATAAATCTATAATTTTATGACAAAACAAAGTACCACATGGAAAAACTATTTTTCTACTGTTTAGAAAGAGGACCAAGCAAAGGATCAATTAGGTCAAGCACAAGAACACCATACTTCACTCTCTCCCCTCCACAATCAAATCACATAACATTTAGAGAAACACATTGGAAACAAAGCCGTATTGCACACAAAACAAAGTACCTGACCAAGGAACCCTTCAAGGGTTCCTAGCTTTCCCATGGCCATGGCCATTTGACCCATATAATTTGCCACATTCCCAGATGAGCCTGAGGGACCAGGTGAACCATTGGCCAATGTCTCAGCCAAAGATTGTTGCAATGCTTCCATTCCTTGTGACAAAGCATCTTCAGCCTGCTGGGATGTATGCTGCAGGTTTTGGATACCCATAAGCTGTTGCTCAGTTAGAGGCTCCAATTGATTTGCAAGAAGCTGCATCAACATTAATTACATTTAAAGAATGATCAATAAACTTGCAAGGGAAGAAAAGATGAATGCATCAGAAGGCACCTTAGAATAAAAGGGGGAAAAGAACACAACTTTAACATTAATCATTGAAAATCAAGAACCTTGAGACTTTGCTACATGGACTTAGGGTCATTTGAAAGAGGTGTATCTATCTAACCTAGGCAGCTCGGACATTGAAACGTAATACGAGTAAGACATGAAACGGAAAAGACAACACAGTAATTTTTAAAAATGAGAACACAAGTAGGCAGGACATAACAATAAAATATAATATTTAATATAAAAGTATTCAATGTAAATATAAATATTAATACTTTAAATTAGTATATAATCAAAATTTTATTCTATTTCTTGACATTAATTTACTCAATCATAAGATTCTAACATGTGGGCTTAAGAAGATAACATTTTTATATTATAAGGAGGCTGCGCAATAAATCTTTGTGTTAAATGGATTGGGCTAACATTGAATGGAAAACAGCCTATTAGATCTCAAATCAGTTAAAATGGGAAGAGGGGGGGGGGGGGGTTAGAGTCAGAACAAAGAAGCAGAAACACAAAAGAGAGGTGAATCTGAAGAGACAAAACACATGCACCGAATTATATTAAAGCACACAGATCGCAGACATGGCATGAAAATTCATTTTTTTTTTTCATTTTTCTCTCACTTTCTTTCTCTATCTCTAAAAATCCTCCCATCTCTCTAAACATAGCCTCCAGCAGCTGCTCCTACCCAGTTTTCAGTCATCGGCCATGAATTATTCTGCTACCAACTGCTATTCACCGGCGTAAAAATTTCTCCAAAAATCATCAGACAACTCCTTTCAACCTCTTCTTTCTTCCTATCCAGCTATATTTCTCAAAAACCAACTAAAAAATCCTAGATATACAAAAGACCGGCAGCCTCCATCTTTTTTTTTTTTTTACTGTTTTTCGTTGCTAACCCATGTCCAATTGTGTCACGAGCATGTCCAGTTCATTTTTTGTTTTTTTCTTACAGTGTCCCATATGTATTCCGGTGTGTTGACATCATGTCCATGTTGGACACCAGTAATAGCAGCAGAATGCCGTGTCCATTCTTCCTAGTATCTAACAAAAATGCCATGTTTTAGGCAATTTTTTTTACTTAAAACGGATATAAGCATCATATCCATATAAATTTAATGCATCAAACACAAATATGATAGGAAATGCATGTAATATCTTCCGAATAAATAAGTAAAGCCAGCATAGTTCATCATGATATAAAACAACGTAAAGAGCAACATAGTCGTCAAATCCAAACCAAATAATGACCAAATCAAGGCTTTAGATCATGGGTCAAAGGTTCATAGGTGGATCATTTGAGACCATTGGAGGTTAACAGAAATAGTTTTAAATATTTTGAATGCTTTAAATAAAATTACAAATGATCAAAAGATAACAAAGTACTGTGAATAATTTTTAACAACTTATTAGATGAGAGTTAGAGATTTTCATATCATTAGAAAAATTACAAAAGGCTAAAGCTTATGAAATTGTTTTTACTCTTTAATTTTCACCATTCCTTTATAAGCCCCTTTTTTAGTAAAATGAAAAAACAACCCATAATTAGCATTAAAAAGTTAGCTTAGTTTTGATTTAAATTAAGTTACACATGTCAATATTCCATCCATTCAGGTAAAAAAAACCGTCCATGGGTCACCATATCCAATAGTATCATAAACTGTTGGGTCAATATAGGGGTTTCCATGACAAAAGCACAAACAGTCCAATTGAAGAACCACCAGTGTGAAGAGCCGGGTTAAGAGGTCTGGATCTAATAACTATAAATAAAACCAAAAAATGATGGCTATGCAGCAAGATATCAGACTGAACCCATGATACAATCAGCCTGAAAACAAACTTCAAATTTTTTTTTTTTATTTTAATCTTAAATGAGGATAAAATGTTCAAACACGTATAAAACTAAGTTTCAAAGTGTAAATAAGGTCAAAAAGGTAAAAGGGAAGAGCAAGCTCAATTGAAATGCATTCAAAGAAAAATTGCACTGTTAATGGGTATCATATCTTGATGATTTGGTTAAAAGATGCAAACAAAAATGCCCCAAACTGGGGCGGATGCTTATTGAAACCAGAGGGGACCTTGGTCCCGTCCAAAATTTTAAAAATCCCTAGTAACATGAGGCAGAGGTGAATGGTTATACAAGCCAAAAAAGACCTTGGCCTCCCAAAATTTTAAGAATAATCAAGTTTGTTAAGGTAATTAAATAATCTATAAGTTTTGTTCCCAATGTGAATGCATTATGTCACATTGACTTGGTTAAACCAATTAATAATACTTTGAAATTAGAATGGTATATTTACAAAAGATAAATAAAAAGATATTGTAAAGATATTTAAAATCCGAATTTTTTTTAATCCACCGAAACTTTTCTCCATATAATCTCCATATAAAAGGTTAAAAAATGATTAACTTCTAATTTTATTCTTTTAATGGTATTTTTTTTCTTGTTTTGATAAAAAATATATATTATTTAGCAATTGGTTTATTTGTGTTTTTTTTTAAATCATTCACAATTTTAAGTAAAATGATCATTTGATGTATCATATTTCTTTGTAAATTTGTTTATGCATTGATTAAATTTATAATTTTGTAAGTTATTTTTAGTATATTTCTTGTATATATTATTTATATTGATAATATATATAGGAGTTTACATATGAAGAAAAAAATTAAAATTCAGTATAATATTAATTGGCCCCTTCAAAATCAAATATCAAGATCCGCCATTGCCTGGAATCCCATAAAAAATTAAAGGGCAGTCAGTTCAGTTTTTTTACTGGAACAACAAATGTGTCTCAAGTCCTCCAGCAAATATTATAGCTGAGCACATGTTTTGTCAGCTTAACCACCCAACGAACTGCCTTTCAAAAAAAAAAAAAAACTACCCACTTAACTTGATTGTGAAAAGTGAAGAGTTTAACCTAACTTTTTTTGTGTTAGTACAAAAGACCGCTCCTAAAGAAACTACTAGCATATTAAAAGAAAATCTAATGCTTAGTTGGTTGATACCTTTCCCACTTGTTTCTACTACCAGAAGCAAAAGGCCAAAATGTGTTTTGGATACAAAAATAATATTTTGAAATATTAAAATTAAATATTTCATTTTCATGGACAATGAAGTGGAGTACTTCACTTTCGTGAGACAACTGTGATTGAATTGATCTTTTGTTTTAAACATTTGTTAATTTTTTTAATCAAATATGAAAGATTTAATTTTTATGATTTCCCTTCAGCTATAACTGATCCTATTTCCATCCATGTTTTGCTTTAGGGCTTTGATTGTTTCTTTTGCAAGGAAAAAGGATCACCTTTGCTTTATAACAAGTTTTGAGGAAGCAAAACGAGACTAGTAAAATATAAAAAGCAACAATCAAAGCCCTAATTATTTTCCTTATGTTTTGCTTGGTTGATACTTTTTGCTCTTTTTTTTTTGGCAAAAAATGAATAGAATGGAAAATGCAAAAATTAAAAAAAAAAGGATGGAAAATCATAGACAGAGCAAAAAGCAAAAAACATAAGCATGTACCAAATGGAACCTTAGTTAATATTCAGATTCAAGAACCAGCAAATTAGTAAAAACTTAGAATTGGGCACAGCACATCCAATAATATATATAACATTGAAAAAATGCTGACGTTATGTAATATTACTAGATGGGCCCATGGCTAATGAGGTAGGAAGGGCCTACCTAATAATTTCTACACTCCTGACACTAAACTCAATCATGGGTTTTATTATTAGTATAGATCTAACTCCAACAAAATTAAGACATGTAAATTCTGATGGGACCCTTCTGAGGCATCCAAATATAGAAACCTAGCGTGCACCATGACAACAATTCTTCTGTATAGGAAGAATGGAGCTCACCTTAAGAAGCTCAGATGAACGAAAGCCTCCAACCCACAGAAAACACCGCTCTGCTGGTGTTTTCCACATTCCTGATAAGATATGGAAAACGTCAGCTTTTGCTGCAATGCCTTTCAACCTGAAAATGTCATCAAAATGTGTTGTGACATTGTCAACAATAGTGCGAAGTTCAGTGTCCCCAGCATGTGAATTGACAGCAGCCCTCAACTCATTTATCTTCCTATTATGCTCCTCTAGCCACCGTGCATATTCAACATCAAATGCCAGGGCACCTGTACACCAGTCCATAAAAGACAATATCTTAGCATAGGAGATACAGTGGTGGATGGTGAGATCAAAATCAGACACCAAAAAATAAAGAGAATAAAAGCACGTATTTTTAATTTTATTTACTGTTTTTAAGGAAATGAAAAATGAAGAGAAGGAAAAAACTCTAATAACATAAATTCACAAACATATAGCAAAAAGAGAAGGGATAATGTCACATTTGGCCCTTGAATTATAGTAAAATGTCTAATGTGGTATTTGGACTTTAAAAATCTCTAATGTAATACATTTACCATGAACCTATTAACTAATGTCATACTCACCCATAACACTATTAACTCCCAATGAGAACGTGAACACTGACCAATAAAAAAAATGAGATGTGGCCAAATGTTATGTCAACAACATTATCAGGTTCATTAATCCTATGTGGCATGCCACATGTTGCTGACATGTGAAAAATGTGGCATCCCACATGTTGCTGACATGTCAAACATGTAACATTCTACGTGTCAACAATTAATTAGAGGGCAGATTAGGAGTAAAATTCACCATCCTCCTTAACCTATAGCTAAGAAATAAAAAAAAAAAAAAAACTTAAGCAAGAAAAAAACTCAAAATCGGAAATTTAAGATAAACCTAAATACCAGACTCCTAAGACCAAAAATTAAAACACCATTAGCACCATCAAACCAAGCCATTGGAAAGGCCCCAGCAACACAACAAAAAATGAAAAAAAAAAAAAGAAGAGGAAACTTTAGAGAACTCTAAAGTAATCTACCAATGAAAAAGCTTCATGGTTTTCACTTCTCCGCATTGAAACTCAAATTTTCAAAGGTTCTCACAAAAGTTCATTAATCTAATCAATTGACTCTACATACTCTGGCATGTGCAATTAATCATAAATAAATCTACAAATAACCAGAATAAAAGAGTTCAAGAATTTCACCCTAATGAAATTGGAAAAGTAGAATAGAACTATGAATATAGGCACATGTAAGAAACTTGAGCACAGAATCAATTGAACCAATCTATATTATAGCAAAATTCTTCCCGGATATTCGATCATTCCAACAGGAAAGATCAACCAACGCAAAAGCTTGAAGCTAACAAAGCAAAACCCAAACTGCGAAACATGAATAAAAGTAGTATTAGATATGTTTCATATCAGGATAACCGAAACCCAGAAGCCAAAACAAGAAAACAAGGGGATGATTTGCCAGAAGCAGAGAAAGATTAAGGATAGATCTGATGCCAGCAGCGACAGTTTTTGGTAGCAAAAAATTGAGTTAGGTTTGATAGGATCAAGTGGGCATTTTTTGGGAAGATCCAATAGAAGAACAAACAATAAGTTGGCAACTGTTTAAGGTTAACACACAAGCCGTAACCAGCCAGATTCTGGGCTACGGCCTGGTGGATGGTTAAAGAAGATGAAGACAAAAAAGATACCAAATTTTATTTTTGATCAAAATCCAATAACAAAAAAAGATCTATTCAATAATATTAGACCTTCTGTGCCATGACAACCAAAGCAAAAAGCAAATAAAATATTTCTAAAATAGACAACCAAGCTAGAAAAGGATTTGAAACTCCTAAATGCACAAAGCAGAGCTTAAATGTGCCAAATAATAGCATCCATGCGGACTTAACAGTATTCTAAAAAGTGGTGAAACTCTGTCACCCTTGAATTAAATACTCTAACTTGGTATTGGATGCCTGACACAAGTAGAAACAGTACCTTTTTTTCCATGTTTCAGGAACAAAACTTGACATAGTTAATACATAATATCCACACATGTAATAGCTATTGTTATGAAATGTGTTTCAATAAACTCACAACATAAGAAACTTGAATTCAAGCCCCTATTACCATATCACCAAAATCAATTTTCAAGTTCCAACCATAACACTAAACAATAGGAAGGGCTGATAAAGCTTAGATACCATTTCCACTCATTGAATGAGACTGATCTCCTGAGCTTGAAATGAATATGCCCTACAGTGAGAGAAGCAAAAACAAAGATATGTGAGGCATAATAGATAGCATTTCCAGCCTAAAAATTGAAAAATGCAATGATCCATCACAATATTGATGGGATTAACATAAAGCAAACCTGCTGACGAGCTCGCTGCAGCTCTTGCTCAAGTTGAGTCAGTTTCAGTCGACTAGTCTCTAGCTGCTGCACATATGCCTAGATTTGGAAAGCAGAAAGAAAGGTTAAGGAAAAAAGAATGCATTAATAAATTCAGCAAACTGAGCTTTAATCACTGGAACAAAAACATAAAGTGAACATAATTTTGCACTTTCCTCCTCTGTTGCTTGGTCAGATAATGGTGTGTCCAACACGGGTACATTTAAAATTTTTTCTGTAAGTTTTTCCTTGTATTTGGAGGGTCAAACCTCCAAATCCATTTCTGGAGAATATGTGCCAAACAGGGAAACTTCAAATAAAATGAAAAGTCAGCAACAAAGTTACCTCATATTTCCCACCAAAATCTTTGCCTGGGAAAATTATTTACCTTCATCTGGACACAACAATGTCTTTCCAATTTTTATAAAGTCTAAGAGGCGCAATCAATTGGCATTAGATGTGCGATGTAAGGGTGCAATTACTACACAACTTTAAAGTGGATTTTATAAGTTATCCCTAAACTTAATTTATACTAAGACACAAAGAAACTGCACCTTGATGGATGATTGCAACTTATAATAAAATATTGCATATACAAACATTGATGAAGTTGAAAAGATTAAACCAAGTCATCAATGAGATACCTTTTTCCTTAACCGGCTTTTTCTTGCAGCCTCACGATTTTGAGCAAGCCTACGCAATGTCTGGAGGAGGAAAAATGATATGTCCATCAATATGATATTATATGGATAAACTGCTTTTCCAATATTCCTGTTACCCAATTTAAACAAATAAAAAAAAAAAGAATCTGACCTTCTGGTCTGTTTTATCTTTTGATCTGTCGCTAGAATCAGAAGCAAGAATAGCATTCGTTTGACCTCTTTCAAACTGCACAAAAGGTTGGTGAATTCCCAATCACTATTAGCCAGCATGCACATTCTCTAGCACAACATATGTGTGGGTGTGTATGTCTACACATGCAAAATTTTTTTCTTTCTTATTTCTCAATAAGAGAAAAAGTAACTTTTAGAATCAATTAGGTGAAATGAAAACTAAAACATAGAATATTATCCATGAAAACAAGTAAAAAGCAATCACCCTTTGATTCTTCTCATCAGTGTCATCTGTTGACGTATCAGTCCTGGGGCTGGCATCTGCCATATTTGAATCCCCCCAATTCTCCCGACCAGCTGATGTAGATACAAGATTTGGCGGGGTATCTTTTTGATGCAGTAAGCTTTCTGACCCCAGAACAGCAGTAGACAGATTGCTATTGGTATATGCAAGTGTCTTACAGAGAGAGAGAGAGAGAGAGAGAGAGAGAACTCTTAGTAACTAAATTTCTGTTCAGAGCTTGAAGTACAAACCCAACTTCTTAAAGGAGATAAATGCCCACCTTGTTTAAAGCACCAAACTGGGCATCAGCTATTGCCTGGGTACTAGACTTTATTTGATTAAATAGAGAATCTAAAGACAACATTATTAAAAATACATATCAAAATAAGATCCCTCGTGAAAAAGAAGTGGGAAAAAAACACTAAATCAGCAAATAACTTCAATTTTATAACAAGAAAAATGAACAATGCAATATGATGGCAACTTCAGTAAAAGACAATAGCAAGACCACACTGCCACAGGGTAAATCTTGAAATAAGTTTGGTTTAAGAATCACTCACCCTCAATTTTATGCTTTTAGGCAATCATATTTATAGAAAGTTACATCCTTGAGTTGAAATAGTAAAACACAAAAGAAAAGAAAATTAATTATTCCAGATAGTGCGTGCAAAAAGGTGCAGAGAACATGTTCCAACACTAATTACAGCCTACAGCCTCAAGCAATAAAGAGTTGAGAAACAGCAGCAAATCATTCAGCAACCCAAATAATCATAATAGATGGTGAGTTCCAAGTATCAATGCACCCATGCTATAATATAAAGAAATAAAATAAGATACAAAACATATTCTACACATAAGTTTAGTGGGAATTGGGAAAGTAGTAATAATGCATAATGCAATTTCATTTTCCATGACATGAAAAATGAAATGCTAGCATATGTCCATCACTAGAAAGTTGAAGACCATCGCTACATACTTCTTGTAAGATCAACAGCATCCTCTATGCGAAATCCAAGAGAATGCTCAAGGGTCCCAAAGTCTGAAATTTGAGAAGAACGAATAGTGTTTGCCTCTGTGCCACTGAAATTCATAAGTCATCAAAATGATGTCTTCCAATTTGAAGCAATATGATTCCATAAGTAAAAAATCAAATACATAATCCAGCCAAGAAGAAAAAGCTACATAAGAATATTTCATGATCGGTAACAGGGCATGAAAAAAACATCTACAGTCTTCAACAGCCTCTATTTACCAAAGTCATGATAAGGCTAACCACACATTCTCACAATCATATCAGTACAAAATGTCCAGCATCCCAGTTTTGAGATCATATTTGACCAACCTCTTATCAAGATCAGTTAGCATGTTTTGATCAAACTTTAACTGGAAGAGACAAATTCTCACATACTTTGAAATAGCACTGATTTTGAAACTTTCCATAAGTAGAATATTATCAGCAA